GACTGACTGCCAAGGACAGCATTCGTCAAATCTTGACCTTCAAGCCCAATGTCGCGAGCATAGCTGTAACACCAGCTACATGAGGGGTGGCCATGGAAGTGCCATCCAGAACAGCATATCTGTCGCCTGGCCAAGTCGAAACAATATTCTCTCCAGGAGCAGCAATATTAACTGCAGAGCCCGTATCCGAGAAGAAGGATACTTAGGCGGAGCAATGGACGAGGTAGAGCCCACACACATCATTGAGGGTACTTGAGTGGTGAAAGAGCAAGGAAACCTCGGATCCTCATCAACATTGACACCGTCATTACCAGATGCTACCACAACGATATGTCCGACTTTGGCAGCGTTCTGGATAGCCTGCAAGAAGACGCTGCTAGACCCATCAGCCGTGTATGAATGAGATGATACTGTAGCCCCATGAGCAACTGCCCAGTTAAGACCGTTGAGAGTGGCTAACATACCGCCAGTACCATCAGCGCCGAAAGCACGCAAGGCCATGATCTTAACGTCAGCGATGCCTGCAATGCCAACATCATTATCAGTCTGAGCTGCCGCAATACCGGCACAATGAGTACCGTGACCATTCAGGTCAGAAGTATTCTCGTCGTTATCCACGAAGTTGTAGCCGTGGGAGCCATCAGACGCTGTCCACATCTGGTCCTTGAGGTCAGGATGCGAACTATCCACGCCGGTATCAACGATCGCGAGGATGATCTCTTGAGGAGTCTTGCCAGAATTGTCAACGTTCCTCCAGGCACCATCGATGTTTATCAGCTGCAGATTGTCCTGATATCGAGCCAACGGGTCGTCCGAATCCACATCGGACTTGGGACTGTTGCCGAACCAACCTGCCACTTGTTCAGTTGCATCGGCAATTCTTGCCTCATTTACACCATCAACGATCCTCATCTCAATATTGGGTTCGCATAAGACGTCCAAACCAAGCTCGTCACCAGCTTCCTCGAGGTAGGCCTTCACTTCATCTAAGCTGACCGGACAGTCCTCGGACAGAGTGTCGACACTCTGAACACCAATCATAGCCAATGTCTCAACGGCGTGTGGGTTCTGCAGGCAACGTTCAACAGCAGCCAATCGGCTGTCACTGAGCCGACGCAAATTGCCCACATTGTTAGCAAGCATGTGAGGGATTGCACTGACGTCAACAGCATCATGCACAATCGATTCTCTGGTTGACGATATTGAGACTACACCACTGGGAGGAGATCGGCGAG